AGTTGGTATGAACAATTGTGCACAAGTAATTTTATGGGCATATGCTTTAATTTCTCCTAGGTAAATACCTAGGAACAGAATGACTGTTATATGGTAAGCATATGTTTAAATTTTAAGAAACTGCCAAACTATTTTTTAAAGTGGTTAATCATTTTACATTCCCACCAGCAATATATAAGAGTTACAGTTGCTCCACATCCTTGACAAAACTTGGCATGGACAGTCTTCAAAATTTAAGATGTTCCAATTGGGGTGTAGAAGAATCTTGTTGTGATTTTTAGTGTGTATTTATCTAATGGCTAATGATTTTTTTAACATCTCCTCATTTGCTTATTTGCCATCTGTATATCTTCTTTGGTAAAGTCATATTTTGCCCATTTTTGTATTGGGTTGTTAATTTTTTTAAGTTTTATTAGTTTTGAAAATATCTATATATTCTTTGCACATTAAAGGACCGTTCTCTATCAGATATTTGATTTACAAATATTTTTCCAACACTGACCCTTGTCTTTTCATTCTGTTAACAGTATTTTTCAAAGAGCAGAAGTTCTTCATTTGGATAACGTAAAAAAAATATTGTGGCTGGATTGTGATTTTGGTATTGTTTCTAAGAAACTATCGACTAAACCAGGGTCACAAAGAGTTTCTCCTGTGTTTTCTTCTAGAACAGTTTTAGTTTTAGGTTTTACATTTAGGTTTGTGATCCAGTTTGAATTACTTGTTTTATGTACTGTGTAGAATGGATCAAAGTTCATTTTCTTTTTTTTTTGTTATGAATATCCAATTGTTCCCGTAAAATTTGTTGAAAAAAAATTGCATTTAATGTTTATGAAAGCATTAGTTGTTTATATATGTGTGGTTTTATTTCTGGGATTTCCATTTATCTATTTGTCTTGATGCCAATTCCATGCTGTCTTGATTACTGTAGTTTCATAGTGCCTTAGGGTTATGTAATGAAAGTTCTTCAACTTTGTTCTTCTTTTGTAAAAGTTGTTTTGGCTATTCCAGGGCTTTTATATTTCCATTTGAATTTAATAATTAATTTGTCAATTTTTACAAAAAAACCTAGTAGTATTTTGGTTGGGAATGCATTGAATATATGTATCAACTTAGGGACAGTTGACATCTTAATACTGAGTCTTCCAATCCATGAACAAAGTGTGTTTCTCCATTTAGGTCTTCTTTAATTTCTTTTAGCAATATTTTACAGTTTTCAGTCATCATTAAGTATTTAATTTTTTATGTAATCATGTGTGGAGTTTTCAATTTTTTTTCAGTTTCAAATTGTTCTTCAATAGTGTATGGAAATACAATTGAATTTTTTATTTTGTCCTTGTATTCTATAACCTTGCTAAACCTACTTCTAATCACTTGTCACTTCTAATATCTATCTGTTTTGCAAATTCCTTTGGATTTTCTGTAATGATCATGTTGTCTTCAAATAATAACACTTTTACTCCTTTCTTTTCAGTCTGGGTGCCCTTTATTTCTTTTTCTTGCCTGATTGCACTGGCTGTAGTCTCCAGTGCCATATTGAATAGCAGTGGTGAAAGTGCACATCCTTATCCGTTCCTGATGTTAGGAAGAAAGCATTTAGGCTTTCACTAGTAGGTATAATGGTAACTATAATTCTTTTATATGCCCTTTATCAAATTCAGGATGTTCTAATAGTAATTTGCTTAGAGTTTTTATCAGAAATGGTTGTTGAGCTTTGCTAAATGCATTTTCTTCATTTATTGAGAGGATCGTATTTTTTTTCTTTTTGGTTTGTTAATATGGTAAATTACATTGATTGGTTTTTGTTTTTTGCTTGTTTTTAAGAGACAGCTTCTCATTCTGTAACCCAGACTGGGGTGCAGTAGTGTGATCATGGCTTACTGTAGCTTTGACCTCCCTAGCAGCTTTGATCCTCCCACTTCAGCCTCCCAAATACCTAGGACTATAGGCAAATGCCAGCATAGCTGGCTTTTTTCTTTCTTCTTTTTAAGTAGAGACAGGGCTCACTATGTTGCCCAGGCTGTTCTTGAACTCCTGGGCTGAAGTGATCCTCCTGCTTTGGCCTCCCAAAGTGCTAGAATTACAGGCACCTGGCCTTGATTGGTGCCTGTAAATTGAATCTCAAACCAGCTTTGCATTCTTGGAATAAACCCCACTTTGGTCATGATACATTATCCTTTTTATATATTGTTGAATTCAATTTGCTAATATTTTGTTTAGAATGTTTGCATCTATGCTCATGAGGAATATTGGTCTGTAGTTTGCTTGCCTTTGTCTGCTTTCTGGTATCAGGTTAATTTTAAATTTATAGACTTCATTGACATATTAGCTACTTTTCAATTTTCTGAGAGTTTTAATAGAATTAGTATTATTTTATTTTTGTGATTTTATAGACTTCATCAGAGCAGCAAGCCATCTGGATATGGAGTATTTTGTGGGAAAACCTTTAACTACAAATTAAATGTTTAAAATAAGCATGGGACTATTTAGGCTATCTATTTCTACTTGAGTGAGCTTTGGTATTTTGTGCCTTTCAAGGAATTTGCTCTAAGTTGTTGAATTCATTGGCATAGAATCATTCATAATATTCTATTATTATCTTATATTATCTGTATAACTTGCAGTGATGTTACATTCCACATTAGTGATAATTTGCATCTTTCGTCTTTTGTTCCTAATCACCCTAGCTAGAGATCTATCAATTTTATTGATTTTTGTTTTCAAAGAAGCAGTTTTGGTTTCACAGATTTTTGCTATTGTTTTTCTGATTTTTATTTTATTATTTTTCCTGTGAACTTTATTCTTTTATTTTTTCTGTGCACTTTGAGTTTAATCTTCCTTTTCTGGTGTCTTAAGATGAAAGCTGGAGTCATTGATTTGGGACCTTTTTTCTATTCTAATGTAAGTGTTTTGTGTTGTAAAAATTTCCTTAACTACTGCTTCAAGGGTATCCCAGACATTTTGATGTATTGAGTTTTCATTTTCATGCTATTTAAAATACTATCACTTTGCTTTTGATTTCTTCTTGGCCCATTGAATATTTAGAAGTCTCTTATTTAGTTCCCAAATATTTGGGGTCTACCCAGCAATTTTTCAGCAGTCATTATTATCTAATTTATTTCAGTTGTGGTTAGAGAACATACTGTATATGACTTAAATTCTTTTTAGCTTCTTGACACTTGCTTTATGACCCCAAATATGCTATATTTTATTTATTTATTTATTATTGCTATATTTTAATAAATATTCCCATGGTCACTTGAAAAGAATTTATATTCTGCTATTGTGGGGTGGAATGGTCAATAAATCTTAATCAAATGAGGTTGGTTGGTAGAGTTAATGACAAAATTCTATGACTAGAACAGTGGCTTCCAAAGTGCGTGTATACATCCCTGAAGGTATAAAAACTGATCTATTGGAATATAGAAATAAATTATTAAAATTAGGCCAAGTGTGGTGTCTAACACCTGTAATCCTAGCACTTTGGTTGGCCAAAGTGGTGGTATCACTTGAGCCCAAGAGTTCAAGACCAGCCTGGGCAACATAGTGAGAACCTATCTCTACATAATATTTTTAAAATTTAAAAATAAGAATTAGCCGGGCATGGTGGCACATGTCTATAGTCCCAGCTACTCAAGAACCTGAGCCAGGAGGATCTCTTAAGCCCAGGAGGTCAAGGCTGCAGTGAACTACAATCATGCCACTATGCTCCAGCCTTCATTGATGTAGCAAGACTCTGTCTCAAAAAAAAAGAAATTATTAAAATTATATATATAATTTATTTAATGTATTATGCATATAATTTACTAAAATGATATATAATTCTTAAAATAAGAAAATACAGATAGTATCATATACTTTTTATTTCACTTTTTGTATATTGTTACAAATTACAGTATATTTACCATAGGATGTCATGAACATGATTAATTTTTTTAAAAATTCTAAGCGATAGACTCTATACAGTACTTTGTATTGAGATGAGGAGATACTATGCAATTTTTTTTATCCCACAGAGAGGTCCACCAGCACAGTCTTTCTCCCCTGGAGGAACTCCTGAAATAATTTCCAGGTCTCAGGGGATTTCTATATAAAATTATTTTTATCTAAGCCCATAGTACATTAGCATGATCAGTAAGATGTAGATATAACAATCCAATAATAATTGCCAATGCTCTTTTGAGTAGAGAATGATATCTTTTCCTGAAAATCTGTTTATTTTGGCTAACTTACTTGCCTATCATTTTATGTGGTTCCTCCTACCAAAAAAAGATATTAATTCATTATCTCTACTTGATTTTTTAGGTTTTTTACCTTATCCAAGTAGATCCCAAACTCTTATCACAAATTCCTACTAAATTAGATTCTAATGTGGTTGTTATGTCTTTTTAAACATCTGTTCCTGAAATAAAATCGAATAGTTAAAATTAGCTTACCTTTCTTGAAATTAATCTCCATAGTGGCTTTTCATAAAATTTTAAAACTCGTATTGTAAAAATAGTACATTTTTGTTAAGCAGGCTTAAGACAAAATGAGACAATTTTTTTTAAAGGTAAGAGGAGTTGATTTAATTTACATAAAGGTTGTAAATTGATTTTAATTAATGTTGTTTACAACACAAAAATTTATTGAAAATGTTGAAAAGTTACTAAAACTGCAAAGAAAACAATGTGAATAAAAATGGCCTAAGACTGTTTTAAGACAGTTTAAAAGCTCTTCCTTACTGAGTGACATGATCAGGCTGCCTGCTATGGTTTGGATATTTGTTCCCTCCAAATTCCATGTTTAAATATAATAAAGTTGGAGGTGGGGCCTAATGGGAGGAGTTTGGATCACGGGAGCAGATCTCTCATGAATGGTTTGAGGCTGTCCCGGTGATAATGAGGGAGTTCTTACTCTGTTAGTTTATGCGAGAATTGGTTGTTTAAGAGAACACTGCCCCTCCACCTTCTCTCTCTTTTCGTCTCTCACAATGTGACAATCTGGCTCCCCTTCACTTTCAGCCATGATTGGAAGCTTCCTGAAGTCCTATCCAGGAACAGATGCTGGCATCATGCTTCCTGTATAGCCTGCAGAACCGTAAGCAAAATAAACCTTTTTATAAATTATCCAGCCTCAGGTATTCCTTTATAGCAACGCAAAATGGACTAACACTCCCATATAGGCCTAGCAATTACAAAATTATTATACACACATTACTTTCTTGATCTCTTTAACTGGCCTATAAAGTATTAAAAGTGTTTTAAACACTTTTTTGAAACTAAAACTTAAGGATGGACTTTATCCCTTAATTGAAGCTTGTGCTTGTGTCTTTGCTGGTCAAATACACAATTTTCAACAGAAATATGATACTTTCAGATGCTTCTTAAAGAAGAAAAACTAGCTTGAGCAACATAGGTGATTCTACCTCTGCAAAAAAAAAAAAAAGGCCAGATATGGTGGCATGCATGTGTAGTCCCAGCTACAGTCAAGAGACTGAGGTGGGAGGATGGCTTGAACCAGGAATTTGAGGCTGCAGTGAGCTCTGATCATGCCACTGTACCAGCCTAGGGAACAGAATGAGACCTTGTCTCAAAAAACAAGAAAAAGTTCACTTACAAGTTTAAGAAGTTAAATACCAGCTGGGCACGGTGGCTCACACCTGTAATCCCAGCACTTTGGGAGGCTGAGGCAGGCAGATCACCTGAGGTTGGGAGTTTGACACCTCCCTGACCAACTTGGACACCAGCCTGACAGTCTCTACTAAAAATACAAAATTAGCTGGGCGTCGTGGCTTATGCCTGTAATCCCAGCTACTCGGGAGGCTGAGGCAGGAGAATTCCTTGATCACAGCAGGCAGAGGTTGCAGTGAGCTGAGATCATGAAGCTGCACTCCAACCTGGGCCATAGAGTGAGACTTCATCACAAAAAAAAAAAAAGAAGAAGAAGAAGTAGTTAAAAACCAGCAAAATGTTCGTTGCTTTCCCATGAATAGCAGAAATTTGCTTTTTCATAGAAATCCAGTTTGTCTCCATTGTTAGAGAGCTAGAAAAAAGAAAAAAAATAGAAATCCATAGTTTGTCAAGAGATAGATGAGTAAATCTCATCTTCAGTATATGATCAGACTGTATCTCTGTTTAAGAAAGTTGACTATTTTTGTCACATCATCCAGACTTTTAAATTTTCATCTTTGATAGGCTTTGACACCATCACCTCTCTATGAAGAAAAGAGTGTGTTGTGAACAAAGTCAGAATTTCCTGTATTCCCTTTTCTGCTCCTGGAGCTCATTGGTGGGACCTGTCAGTATAGACACCCACATGTTTCCTCCAGATCAGACCTTTTTATTCCAGATACAAAGATAGAACATTAAATGCGTCTGGGAGTTTGTTGTTTGGGATAGCTCTTTGCACCGGGGGGAAAAAAGTCTTAAAAACCACAGCGAAACTCCGTCTAAAAAAAAACCATCTCGTTTACGAATCTTACAAATGTTATGATATTAATTAGCCAGGTGTGATGGTGGGTGCCTGTAGTCCCAGTTACTTGAGAGGCTGAGGCAGGAGACTCGCTTGAACCTGGGAGGCAGGTAACAGTGAACCAAGATGGTGCCACTGCTCTCCAGCCTGGGTGACAGAGCGAGATTCCGTCTCAAACAACAATAACAGTAACAACTAATTTTATAATATGACATTTATTGGTAAAATCTGTTGATTCATCAACCTACATAGAGAATCATTTGTTTCCATTTATGACATAAATCATTAATACGTTGACTAACGGTATTGAGAGGGAAAACTTTTCATTTTCTTATACTATATCTTGTCCTAGTATTTTATTTGTTTGTTTGATTTTAGAGACAGGATCTTGTATGTTGGCCAAACTCCTGGGCTCAAGCAATCCTTCCACCTCAGCCTCCCAAGCAGCTAGGACTACAGGCAGGAGCTCTTTGCCAGCCCTAGCATTTTATTTACTCTAATTTAGGTTCTCATCACTGTGTGCATTTTCCTTTTCTGGACAATGAAGAACTGCTACTAAATAGCTTGCTTCCTGAGGCTATTCACTGACTATGACCTTTTTTTTTTTTTTAAACAAAAGCTTTACTCTCTTTCAATTTTCCAGTAACCACTGAAAATAATCTGCCCTTTTATTTGTCAAATGTCTGTGCTTTGGAGTTGAGTCTTTGCAGTTTTGTTAAAACCATTGCTTGATGTGCACGTTGTTTACCACACAAAATGCACAAAGGAATGGAACAATTTGGATTACTAGAGTTTCCTTGTTGCCTGGTACAGTAAAATGCTTCAAAAGATTAAAATTCTTGACTGGGCGTGGTGGCTTTCATCTGTAATCCCAGCATTTTGGGAGCATTTGGTAGGATTGCTTGAGGCTAGCAGTTTGAGAACAGCCTGGGCAACATAGCAAGATCTCTTAATCTACAGCAACAAAATAACAAGGCATGGTAGCACATGCCTCTAGTCCTAGATATTCTGAAGGCTGAGCAGGGGGATCATTTGAGCCCAGGAGTTTGAGGCTGCAGTGAGCTGTAATCACACCACTGCACTCTAGCCTGGGTGACAGAGTGAGACACTATCTCTAAAATAAATAAATAAATATAGATTAAAACTCTTCATCAACCCCATCAGAAGAGTCCATGGACCTAGGCCTATAATATTTTCTTCTGTCTCATACCTTGCCTTTAAAAATCACCATATTGGACAGTTGGACATGTTTAAAAACCCAAACACTAATAAAATATAAAATGGTAGAGCATAATAACAGCCACATGAGAAAATTATTTACAAAATATGTGAAATTTTCACTGTACAGTTTAGTTCTAACCTATACAATCCATGTTTTCAGTGGCCATTGCTTATGAATAAGTGAAATGAATGGCCGAAGTGCCATAACGTGTGGGAGGAAGGCATGGGGAACACCATTCTAAGGTACTTGCACTAACTATGAAGGAGTATACTATTACTTTAAAGTGGACTTGCCTTAGTTATGAATGTATATTAAAAATTCTAGGGAAACCCCTAAAAAGAAGTATAGTTGATGTAAGAGAGAAGGGAAAATAGAATCATAAAATGTTCAATTAAAATCAGTGAAGGCAAAAACAAAAAAAAAAGGGAAGGCAGAAAAAGAGTGGAAGACAAAAAAAACAAAAACAAAAGCAATGACTAGAAAAGTTACACATATGATAGGTATTAATCCAACAATATCAAGATTCACTTTAAATGTGAAGGGTCTAAGTATGCCAATTAAAAAAGACTGTCAGAGTAGATTAAAAAAAAGCAAGACCTCACAAGAAGAAAAAATTACAAAAAAAAAAAAAAAAAAAAAAAAAAGAAAGCCAGGTGCGGTGGCTCACGCCTGTATTCCCAGCACTTGGGAGGCCAAGGCAGGCAGATCATGAGGTCAGGAGATCAAGACCATCCTAGCCAACATGGTGAAACCCCGTATCTACTAAAAATAAAAAAAAAATTAGCCAGACATGGTGGCACATGCCTGTAGTCCCAGCTACTTGGGAAGTTGAGACAGGAGAATCACTTGAGCCCAGGAGGCAGAGGTTCCAGAGAGCCAAGATCATACCACTGCACTCTGGCCTGGGCAACAGAGTGAGACTCCATCTCAAAAAAAAAAGGAAAGAAAGAAAAAGTTCTGACTAAATTTTGTTTAAAAGAAACATTTTAAATATAAAGACAGATAGAATAAAAATAAAAAAATTAAAGACTATACCATGCTAATATTAGTCAAAAAAAAACCACTGGAGTTCTACATTAATTTCAGACAAATAATTAAGCACAAGAAAAATTATCAGGGATAAAGAAGAACAGTATAAGATTTTTTTAAATCTCCAAGAAAACATAACAACCCTTAATGTATGCACACCTAACTAACAAGAGTGTCAAAATACATGTGGTGAAACTCATAGAACTGCAAGGGGAAATTGATGAAAACACTATTATACTTAGAGACTTCAACATCCCTCTATTAGTAGTTGACAGATCCAGCAGGCATGAAATCAATAATTATATCGTTGAACTAAATATAAACAGCACCATCAATCAACTGAATCTAATTGACATTTATAAAATACTTCATCCAACAGCAACAAAATACACATTCTTTCCAAGCTCACATGGAACATTCTCCAAGAGAGACCACATTCTGGGTCATAAAACAAATCTTGACAATGGGATTAAAACAAAATCAGTAACAGAAAGATAGCTGGAAAATCCAAAAATATTTGGCATTTAAACTACATGTTTCTAAATAAATGAGTAGTCAAAGAAGAAACCTCAAGAGAAGAGAAATTTTAAAATATTTTAGCTCAATAAAAATGAAATTACAACTTATCAAAATTTGTCAGATGCAGTGAAAGCAGTGCTTAAAGGAAAATTTCTACCATTAAATGCTTATATTGGAAAATCAAAAAGACCTAAAATTAATTATCTAAGTTTCCACCTCAGGAAACTAGAAAATGAGGAGCAAATTAAATTGCAAAAGAAGATAAATTATAAAAGTCAGGGCCGAAAACACTGAAATTGAAAACAGGAAATCCATAGAGAAAGAATCAATGAATCCAAAGCTGTTTCTTTGCAAAGATCAGTGAAATTTATAAACTTTTACTCAAACTAACTAAGAAAAATAGAAGACACAAATTACTAATATCAGAAATGAAAGAAGGCACATCATTATGAACATTAAAAGTGTAATAAAGGAATGTGATAAATTATTATATGCCCATAAATTTGATAATCTAGGTGAAGTAGACCAATTCCCTAAAAGACACAATCTACCAAAACTTTTACAAGGAGAAGTAGATTACATGAATAAGCTTGTAGGTATTAAATAAATTGAATCAATAATTAATAACTTTCCAAGACAGAATGCACCAGGCTCAGATGGGTTCACTGGTGAATTCTACCAAATATTTAAGAAATAAATTACAACAATTCCCTATAATCTCTTACAGGAAATAGAAGCAGAGGCAATACATCCTAACATTCTTTGAGGCCAGAATTATCCTAATACTTAAACCAAAGATATTACAAGAAAAAAAAAAAACAACTACAGACCAATATCTCTTGTGAATATAGGTACAAAAGTCCTCAACAAAATATTAACAAATAA